GCTCCTAAAAGTACTTACTTGGTGTCCTTATAATCTTGCAATAATTTCCTCATTATTCTACTATTTTTCATACGGCAGAAAAAAAAAAAGGTAAATTATACAATTGCTAAGATTTTCAGATGTACAATGCAATAACTACCTATATTTATTTCTTTTACTTATGTCACCCTTTTAAAGGCATTTACATAACTTTTAATACGAAATAGCATAAGTATGACTTTCAAGACAAGTCTAAATGTTTATATTCTACCTTGTTTCTGGCATGTAAAACTGCCAAAAAGAATATCCTGTAGTATCACAGCTTTGAAACCTAGCATATCTTTTAAGCATGAGTTCAACTTGGCTGATATTCACATTAACCAGACACTGTTAATTTAATAGATCTCTGTCTCGTTTGGATAGTGCTGATTCTGTTGTTTACTCACTGAAACTTCTGAGATAAATTTAACACAGATCCTATTTCACAAAGTAGTCTTTGGGAGGTAGTCATGGAAATGGCTAAATGTAACAGTGGTGCTTTTTATAAAACATGCACGCTCCAAATATAATTAGAGAGTAGTAGAGTAATGTTTATGCAGCAAAAGTTGACATTAAGGTATCCAGAATGTCTTGCAGAAATGAACTGGATTCTACAAATGTAAAGATCTTATTAGCTTAAATACAGCAGTGCTTCATTTGCTAATGCTATGGTGATATAATATTATCGTTGAGTGTTTTATTTAAATATTAAAGGTTATAAAATGAAAGTGCTATGAAGCAGGGCCAAAGTATTGGGTAAAATGCCTAGTTAGCTGAATTAGCTCAGTCCTTCAGCTAGTGTTGCTGTATGATAACCACATTAAAGGTTTTTCTATTATATCCCTCAGATTATTCACCCTAAAACAGATGATCAACGAAACAGACTGCAGGAGGCATGCAAGGACATTCTTCTTTTCAAGAACCTAGATCCGGTAAGAAATTCTTTGTAATGAACCCATTTGCCAGTGCTGCTAAGAATTAATTCTCTTGAACTTTTGAATAGAAGTTTACAGATTTGACTTTTCGAAGCCCTTAAGTATGCTTTCTTGACCATTTCATAAACTCCAAAATTGCTATTTTTATAACTGATGTCATATATATGACTTTCATTCACCACCATGAATGATAGTCTTGAAGCACGTTAATATGAATGTATACATTAATTTGATTGTAAAGTATTGTATTTTCTTACTTTAAATCTTGTTGCTGTGCATTGAATATAAACTCATCAGTTAACTGCAATGTTTAAGATGTTTCTACTGGTTACTTTTCATCCTCCAAAAGTGTGCTGAGTGCTCCATCAAAACCTAAAATTATCCCCAAAGCCTACAGTTTATCGATAGATGTAATTGAACAACCAAGTTATGAAATAGAGGGAAAGAGAAAGGCAGTGGTGAGGTGTTTACATTATTATTTTACTTGATACAGATACTGTAAAACCACTACAGATATTTTTTTTTCTGCACAGATAATTTCCTTCTATTGCCTATAAAACAATTATGGGCTTTTAAGAAAGCCGAAATGCAGTGAATGAGTGATCTGGATCAGACAAAGGTGATAATGCTACTAAAGAAGCACAGGGCTGTTTAAGGAAAAAGGCAAGTGTGTCAATCAAAATCTGCATACCGAGGTTGGAATGACTCAGAGCACAGCAAATGCTTTCCCAAGAGAATTGATTCAGTGCTGTCAGGGGCGGGAGCATGGGGGAAAGGGAAATAATTATGCAGAATTTTAAGCATGAGAACAAAAAGGTTAAATGTGATTCAAGAGGGAGCTAATGGAATGACCAGCCTGGAGCTCTGCTTGGAAGTCAGGTGCTGTTACAGAGAAGGTGTGTTAATTCATGCTGCAGGGTTTCCAGCTCCTGCTTTTGTCTGCACAAAGGCTGAGTCCTAGCCCTGCTTACCTGTTCCCAGAGAGGCCCTGAGGAGTAGCGACCCAGACACCCCCAGCTTTGCAGAACCCTGCCATTAGAACTATAGGAGGGCATCAAAAGTCTTAATGTAGGTGCTAATATGTGTTCACCTTGGGACACTAGGGATCCTGACAGATGATTTCCTCCCTCATGCTGTCTGTTTAATGAGTAGCTAATTAGCTGCTTTATTATACTTATTCAAGCTAAAATCACCCAAAAATTTGGCTCTTCCATTCCCTGATTATTTTTCTACATAATTTCAGGGATACAAAATGGTTTATGGGCATCTGCTCTGGATATGAAATTGCTTTTTTGTGTATTTTCCTTTTTTTGTCTCTGTGTCCTGTCTTCCTCTTTTCTGTACCATTGTTACATTAGCCTGCCAATGGCATGTTGGCAGACCCCTCTTGGTGAGCCTCTGAGCATTTCTCTCCTATGAACCCTGTGACCCAATGGATCTAAATGCTGTGTGTTTCTAGAGTGTGCCATGATGTTAATTTTGAGGTACTGCTTTCCCGATTTTTGCTTTACATGGTTTCTTGGTAATATCTTCTTACAGTATCAGTCCTCTGGATGTGATCTGCTTTTGCTTCCACTGAAAACTCAATCTCTCAATAGTCATCAGCCCCTTGGTCTGCAGGAAAGGGATCTGTTTGCTTTGTAATCTTGTGTGGGCATAGAGCATTAAACTGTTCCAGAGTGGTTCAAACTTAAACAGGGGAAGGTTAGGTTAGATATAAGGAAGAAGTTCTTTACTGTGAGGGTGGTGAGGCACTGGAATGGGTTGCCCAAGGAAGTTGTGAATGCTCCATCCCTGGCCAGTGTTAAAGGCCAGGTTGGATGGAATCTTGGGTGACATGGTTAGGTGTGAGGCGTCCCTGCCCATGGCAGGGGGATTGGAACTAGATGATCTTAAGGTCCTTTCCAATCCTAACTATTCTATGGTTCTATGATTCTGTAACTCTTCCAAGTAATACTAAGGGTTTACTTCCCATGTTAGCGGATGTCTTCTCAGGACTGTGCTGCTGTCTCAATACCGTATACGCTTAATGTTTTGAACTTCTTTTTTTAATTTTGCTTCTCAATCAGTTACTTGTAATTGCTAACATTTCCCATGGTCTGTTACAGGTGTTCAGCAGACTTCTTAGCTCAGTCCTCCCTTTGTGTAGCTCTTCAATCCAATGCCTTGAAGTCTGCTCCTAGTTTTTCGTTATAATAGTGTTGCTCATAAAATGCATTGGAAAGGTCCTGAGCTCTGGAGATAGCAAGGATATTAAAAGGTAGCCTTCTTCAGTCTGGCTTGCTCCTCTGTGGAACGAAGATCTCTAGTTCCCCAGGGGACTTCTCCCGTTCCTCCTTCTTGTTCTACTGCTAGGCAGTGACTTGAGCTCTACCAGTGTAGTTGCAGTAATTTAAATGTTCCTGTCCCAGCTCTCTTTCTCACCTCTGCCTCTCCACCCTGTAGCACAAGCACACATGGTATCAGCTGCTGCAGTTTCCTCTCTGATGTATTAGCAAAGAAAGTCCATGATCTTGGAGAGAGATAGTATCTTCAGGTGCTAAAAGTCTCTGGAACAAAAGTCAAGCTGTGTATTGATAGCATCTCTCACTTCCACTTTTATTTCCCTTCCATTTATCTTCAGCCTCTTTCTGCTGTAGTTCTGTGTATGAAAAACATTATTTCAGAAGTCAGTGAGTTGAAGGGGAAGAGACAATGTCAAGTGCTTAATAGCTTTTCGATGATGGCCTTTTAGCAAACGCTATTCCTAGATAGGACACTACTCTCAAATACAGTATAACATGTCTTAAGGCACGATCAGACTTGCCTTCGGTATGTGATGTTAAATGGAGGCCACGTTTTCTTAAAAATTTATCCCACCCTAACACACTGTGGTTTAATTTGAATGGAAGGATAAGATAAGGTTATCATTAAACCAGGAGCAGGACTGATACAGTGTGCCAAACTGCTTGCCGTACATGCATGCACAAAGCACGATACGGTTTTCATTCTCCAGATGCTGGAGGTTACTGGCAATGGAATCAGAAGCTGTATGTCCTCTTTCCCCTCCGATTTCCCTTTGTATAAGCCGGCAAGGATAAAACAAGATGATAATCAGATGCCTTGGGCTGTTACTGAGGATAAGCCCCAAGTCTCTGTTACTGGAATTTGTCTTTGTTCAGCCTAACAACTGTTCCATCACTGAGAGGAGCAGCAGCATCAGCATCTCACCTAGTGGCCAACACAGCCTTCTACTCTTCCTTTTTACAATGCAGTTTAGAGAAGTTATGCTTTTGGTTTTGTCTTTTAAGAAGAAACTTATACAGGGACTAATTAACAACAGGCTATTTGGTTTGGCTGTTATGGCCAGCAGTTAAAAAAACTGATGAACCTATTATCAGAATAACAGGGTGGCTCAAGGGACTGGTAGCATCAAAGCTGTGTCACACCCCTGCAGTTAAAGTTTTCATCCTTATTTCTCGCAAAAAATCAGAGGCAGTGTTAGATAATCTGTTCTCTTTCAGGGAAATGTTATTTTGGAGACCATTGCCCTGCTAGTGCTTTACAGAATGTTTCAGATAGGTCTTGAACCTCTTCTAAAAGGTAATAAATTATACATGTTCTTCACAAATATGCAAGAACAATTTCTGGGCATATTGCCACTCATGCACCTGGAGAATTATTATAAGAGTAAACAAATATTGATTAATCAATTCTAGTTGATTAACTGGAAGATGAAAGAAAGCATAATGCAAATATATTTTATGAATAGTGGACTCATACTCAGGGCCAAAGCATCCCTTGAAAAGTGCTACAACAGAAGATTCTAATAATGCCCTTACGTTCTTAAAAATATTGGTAAAGAATTAGGACTACAGATGCTGGAGCAATTAATGGGAATACATAGATAGGTAGATCTATCTATATATGAGTGAGCCCAGAATGCCTGACCAGTTAATGCACTACCCTTTTCAGTGGCACAAAGTTCTTTGCAAACTAATGGGTTCCCAAAAAAAATAGATCTGCACTTAATCATCTGTTTTTCTGTAAAGTAAAATTAATACTTACATCAGGTCTATGAAATGGGGATTCTCTCCACCTTGTCTATTGCATCAGATTGTGGCCAGCGGGACTAAGGAAATGGTCATCCTCCTGTACTCGTCACTGCTGAGGCCGACCTTGAATACTGTGTTCAGTTTTGGGCCCCTCTTACAAGAGAGATATTGACATGCTGGAGCAGGTCCGAAGAAGAGCAACAAGAATGGCAAAGGGCCTAGAGCAAAAGTCTTATGAGGAGTGGCTGAGGGAACTGGGGTTGTTTAGCCTGGAGAAGAGAAGGCTTGGGGGACCTTATCTAGAACTGCCAGAAAGGAGGATGGAGAGAGAAGGTGGCTGATCTCTTCTCCCAAGTAACATGTGATAGGACAAGAAGAAACAGCCTCAAGTTGTACCACAGGAGGTTCAGATTAGATGTGAGTTAAAAATTCTTCATGGAAAGTGTTGTCAAGCATTGGAAGAGGGTGCCCAGGGAAGTGGTTGAGTTGCTGTCCCTGGAGGCATTTAAAAGACATGTACATGTGGCGCCTAGGGATGTGGTTTAGTGGTGGACTTGGCAATGCTAGGTTAATGGTTGAACTCAGTGATCTTAAGGGTCTTTTCTGACCCGAATGATTCAATGATTCTATAATCAGTTACTGAAGATGTTCTGCAAAAGGACTGCCCAGTGTATGGTGCCTTCGTGGCACCATATGCTGAATATATACCATATACCATATACCATATGGCTGAAGAATTTTGGAAACTATTTGCAACTCTGAATTATTTCTACTCTTTTTCTAGCCAACAGCCAGAAAGAATCAGCCAACTTGCTCAGAGGACTAGTTACAAAATACAAAAAGTGCTACTGAGTCTGACTGATGGGCATGTGCATGATAGTGGAGAGGCAGAATACTAACTTAACATTGAGCTGTGTGAAGTTAGGTTAAGGTATATTCTCAAGGAAAATATTATTACTTGAAAATATTGATTATACATTGAAATACAAATAAGACTATTTGATAGTGAAGAATTAAATGCCTTTTGATTAGTTTACAAATGGATATTACACAGTGGAGCTAAACATTCTGAATTGGATCAATGGTGCTGCTGACACTCATTTTGGAGTTTCAGGGGAATATATGTACATGATTTTTTTCCTGAAAAAAAATGCGAAGGCCTGTAACATGAGTTCTGTAATTGACTCTTCCTCTCCAAGGTCCTGACTTGTTGATTAAGAATTTCCTTTTCTTCCTGTGGCTTCCCTACCTATCTTTTGCTAACTATTTCTGTCAAGCCTTTTTTTTTCTTTCCCTACTTCCTACTCTACTATTCTGTCTGCTTCATTACCTTCTTAATATCATAATGAGCATTAATTAATAAAGTGGTTTATGAACTCAGGGGCAATAGAAGAACTGTGGATTCACAGACTAAAGAATACCTATCTTTGTGACTAAGAATACCTACCTGCTAACTGGTTTGTTTTTACTAGTTATCAGTTGTAGTCACATGCCCTTCATATTAAATGTTTCCTTATTCCTCAGTATTTTGAAGACTTTAATTACAGGAAAAATGTCATTTGATTGACCAGAAATACATATTTTGTTTGTCGGTGAATTAATAAGGATGCCCAAAGGCAGAGTTTGACTGACTGCAGTAGATTTATTTTGACATTTTTCATTCTTGTCACCTTTATGCAGTTCAGTAATTGGTTAACAGCAAACTAGATCAGAGGTCATTCTCTGTCCCTGAGGCCATGCACTGCAGTATGACATACATACATACATAAATAAAACTAAACTGTCTTGCACTCTCCTCTCCTTCTAAGCCCACCAAACCAAGCAGTTAACCAGGGTGGTTTTACCTTTTGTGGGAAGAAGCTCTGGCTTAGGCATTCCTCCAAACCATGACCAGGGCTTGTCAGGAGGAGTGGCAGTTGGCACAAACCAAAGCTCTACCACCTGTGCTAGTAACTGCACCAATAGCAAACCAGCCCAGACTGTATCATGTCAGTGCTTGAAACCATCCCCTGGTCCTGTTCGGTTTATACTTCTAGTTGTAGTCTCTGATTCTGACTGACCTGAGTAGGCAAAAGAGCTGTACTAGCAGAGTTCATTTAAGTTGGTATAAAACTAGGGTAGATATCATCTCAGTCTAAGTAAGAGGAAAGAAAACCGCATCATCCCTGCTTTAGGTGATACAAAAGGGTATATCATGCTGGCTGATACTGATAAGGGAGCTAATCCTCCTTTGCACCCTGGCTTCCCAGCAGTTACATTCACACTTGAAAGCAAGGCTGATTGAGACAGTAATAACGGCTGTAACTATGTCATTTTTATTCGTCTAGCAAATTATTTTGTAAAATCACGCTCTATCATTAAAGTCTAATTGGTAGAAAGACTTTTTGAGAGAAATGCAGTGACTACACTTCAAATAAAGGAAATTTATTTATTAAAAGGAAAATCTTGATAGATGGATTTGGTTTGTATTATGAATGTGTCTTTCAGAAAATAAGATTGCTCATTCAGCCTCCTCTCTTTTCTCTATCACAAAGGATGGTGATCAAAGCATGCTTTCATGACAACAACCAAAGGTTTCTTTTTCTAAAAAATGTTCTTTTTTTGAATTATTTACATGCTTTGCAGTTTAGAATTAATCAATAAAATAATCATTGAGTATATTAATCAATGTATGTAAATAAACATTATGTAAAGAATAAAATTTCAAATAATTTAAACTTTAGTTTTGGTTCTTGATGTTTGTAAAGTGCATTATCCTTAAGAAAAATAAATGCTTTATTGTGTTTGAAAAAAAATGCTTAGAGATCATGAATGTTTAGCAGAAACCATAAAGATTGCACAACATACATGTTTAATACTTCAGATCTATGAATTTTATTTCTGTGAAAAAGTTTATCATATTTTAAAGTACCTTCCTTTAGAATATTGATTATCAGATTACTATGGCATTACACATGGCAGATTTACAAACACTTGATATAAAAAAAACTTCCTGTTTTATTTTATATGTATTTTTTCAAGCTAGAACTGCTCTAAGGAAGAACAGCTTTCAGATTGCACCATTTTACAAAATACCAGAATTAATTCTGTGTATGATAACACATCTTCTTTTTAATTCTAAAATTGTCCATCTTTATCCTTTCAAAGTAACTATGAAGGGTGTCAGTAAATTGAGTCTCAGTATGGCAGAGAATCAAGAGGATTCATGTAGAGCAAGCTGGGCAAACAATTTTGTAATTCTCATGGTAAAAGCGAAAAACACATGCCTGGTTTGGTTATTACAGTCTGCTCTATCTTAATTTCTTGTAGAAAGCTTTGGAAAAGGGACTGATTGTCCTTACATCAGCTGCAATTTACTTAGAAAGTTAAAATACATGTTACTTCAGCAGACAATAGACAGCTCTCAAATGTATTAAATACCTTCAAGTGTTAAAAAGATTTTTTTTAAAGGGAATTGCATTTGTGAATTCTACTCTGTTGTCTGAAAAAGTCATAGATTTACCTATCAGAAAAGTTGTAGTTTGGTGAGCTTGATTTGTAATTAAGTGGTTGAAAATGTTTTAACCTGAAATTTGAGATAAAACATACTAAATAGCAATTACAACTGTATGTATTATTCCTTCAATACAGCAAATAGCCATCTTGTTAGTCTAATCTTTTTTCCAAGATGTCTTGGGAGTATTTTAATTTCCAAGGATTGGGGACCATATAATACTTTAATTTTTTGCTTTGCTTGCATTTAGAAGATAACATTCTCCGCTGAAGTATGGAGTGTTCTGCATGTTATTACTTGTTGTCAAATGGCTGCCAAGGGCTGTTGGTCGAGGAGCCACTTTGACAGTTCAGATGTAAAGCAAGGAGAAGGAAATGTGCTGTTTCAAATGCTTTAGACAACTAACTGTCATTTGGTCCATTTTGCAGATTCTGTATGAGTTCCTTTTACTTTCCATAGGGATAGAGAAGTAATATTACCTATTAATTTAATCATGAAAGATTTTAAAAGGCAATTCCTGTACCTACTTTTCAGTCTCTCCCAATGACACATGCACAGAGTTTTCTCTGAAATAGACTATAACCCATTCATTGGTAGAAAAATGATTCTTCTTTTTGCAAATACACAAGCTTTCCGTACTAAAAAAAAGGTACTAAATAGAGGCATAGTTAAATGATTTCGTGCTGGCCTGGGTAGGCTGTGTGATGTCTTACTGTATTTTACCATGATACTGAGGGTGGATGCTGACATTCTGTTGTTCTTTTTGCCCACACACAACAAACTCTGTGAAGCAAAATTGTATTTAGCTTCCATTTAAAAAAAAGGCTTGGATAACATGGTACTGCTGATATTCTGAAAAGCTTTGAGTAATTGAAGAAATTCAACAGGATAAGGGTGGAATTAATTGAGCCTAAGTTTATCTCTCCAAAAATTAAGCGTCTAACTGTGAGTTACAGTAGATTTCTCTTATCATCAGAGGAAAGAAAGTGGGATCTCTAGAGAATGATTCTGAGCTATCTAGTATGGTTATCTCTGTCCAAGGGCTGCAGAAGAACTCTAGAAAAGTCAAATGTCATCCATCTTTCAGTGGCTGGAAATGCTAGAACTGGTCCTTTGTAAGATGTGTATCTAAATCATAGGCTTTTCTTTACAATGTCTTTCACTAGAACTTGCTTGTTCCTCTACTCTACTCTACTCTACTCTACTCTAAAAAGTAGAGGATAGTTTTGTGTTTATTGTCAGAATTTTAGGCATATTGCTGGATAAACTGAATATAAAATTTAAGTTATCAAGTTACACTTTTAGGATTCATATAATCCTAATAATAGTTTGTATAATCTGCAATGAGCTGTATTTGAGTTCTTTTAAATGTGAATAGTTAAGTTTTAGCAGATTTACACCAAACAAGACAAATTATGTGATTTTTGTTATTAGACAGTCATAACTCAGATGATGACATTTTGTTGGTCCGTTAACATTTCTAAGCATTTGTATTCCATTCAAGTTAACAAAGTAATTTAGAGACCTGTCTATAAAATCTTACTTCCTTAGTCCAGCATTTACTTACTCAGCCAAAGCATTGCAGACCTTTAAGGTTACATCTATCCCACCATTGTGCAGCCATTGTGTAATTTAGATTTTCAAAATATTTTACAATCATTTTAAAAGTCTAAATCCCGTACAATAATTCTAAAGACAAGAACAGGTGTGTTGCATGCAATACGAGATACAGTTCTTTCTTTTAACTGTGTATGTTACAGAATTCTGAAGGGTGAAACTCTGTCTTTGGATGCTCATGAGCTAATAATATTGCAGGCAAGACCTATGTTATCATTGGCAGGGACAAGAAGGGAAGCTGGGCCCTGGAAGAGGAAAAAGCTAACACTGAATACTAAATAAAACTGTCTTTCCGATTGATCCACGCATTTCTGTAGCATGATTGTTTTCCATGCGTGAATACTTTCTGCCTGCATATTGGGAGGCTGGTCAGTTAGTCAGTTTGAAGAGTAAAATTTTAAAAGCAGATGATAATTTCTTGTCTTTGCCTGTGTTCTTTTAAATAGGAACAGATGTCTCAAGTGTTAGATGCGATGTTTGAAAAGCTGGTTGAAGGAGGGGAACATGTCATTGATCAAGGGGATGATGGTGACAACTTCTACGTCATCGAT